GGTGGGTGTCACCTCTTGCCACCACAGTCCAGCTAGCAATGGTGGCTGTGGGTTCCATTTGTTATGATGTGAGTTTGGCGAAGGATTTAAAAATAAATGTATTGTTCTTTTTTTTATGAGAAATTAAATTGCTTCTTTCTAATTATTCCTACCTATTAAAATTATGACAAATTATCATTCAATTTAATTTTATTTGATATATTCTTAATATAATCTTAATTAGTTAGTTAAAAAAATATGAAATTATGACAGTTGTCATAAGTTTATTGGGTAGGAACATTTATAGGCATAAAAATTAGGAATCAATTTAATTTCTCTTTTTATATATACCTTGTTAGTATAATAGTCGTTAGGCTGTTAGTAAATAGTTGGAAGTCTATTAGATAATAGACTAACGGCGAATATACTAACATACTGTAAATAGCATCCTGCTATGTTTTTGAGAGATTTAACCACCATGGTACTCACACCATTGTTATGCCCCGGGATTTGGATCTCGTGACTGGCCCTGTGCTTGCAGTTACAGGAGCCGTGAATCTCCAGTAACCTAGCCCCCTGTTGCAGGAGACTAAGCCAAACAAGTAAACTGATATTATTCTCTGATTGTTAAGAAATTCAAGCATGCTTTATTCCAATAAAGATTTCCCTTTAAATAGGGAAAACAATTACTCAAAAATAAGGAAGCAAACCTCCTAAATCACCAAGACTTTGGAAACAGAATCAAACTCAAAACTAGACATTATCTTGAATTAAAATACTCCTAATTAATAGCATGCATTAAAAAATGAAATCCTTTTTAGCCTCCTCCGATTGCCTTAGGTTCTTTCTTACGCTTCTGATAAACTTTGTCATATCTGTTATTGGCGACCATAACATTACTCCCTTCCTCCGCATTGAGCTTGTCCTCAAGCTCAAAATCTGGATAAGCTTCTAGGAAGGTGGCTTGATCTTCCCAAGTAGCACTCTCGACAGAATCAGAAGCCCACTGAACCAACAACTCGGGTTTGCCTTGCAAATTACGCATACGCAACACTTTGACAGGAGTACATAGAGTCTTTCCATCCAAGAGCTGTGGAAGTTCGGTAACCATATCAGGTGGGGACCCGTGATGTGGCTTCAATAAGGACACATGAAACACGTTATGGATACGAGACCCCTCTGGTAATGCCAACCGATAGGCGACTGACCCGATTTTTTCAATAACACCAAAAGGTCCATAAAACTTAGGAGAAAACTTATTAAAAGTATTCTTAGAAACGAACATCTGGCGATAAGGTTTCAGTTTTAGCCAAACCCAATCACCCACCTGAAACTCCAGAAGCTGATGGTGATCATCATAAGTTGTCTTCATGCGTTGTTGTGCTTTAGCTAGACGGTTGCGTGCTTCTTGCAGGAAGGTCGTACGGTCGATCAAGGCTTGGTCTACCGCATCCACCTTACAATGACCTCTCTCATAATTAAGCAAACTAGGTGGATCCCTGCCATAAACAAGTTTGAAAGGCGTAGCCTTAAGAGCTGTGTGGTAAGATGTATTATAACAATACTCCGCCCAAGGTATCCATGTAAGCCAACGACGTGGTCTATCCCCTGTCAAGCAACGTAAGTACATTTCGATGGTGAGATTAACCACCTCTGTTTGGCCATCACTTTGTGGATGGTAGGCTGTAGAAAAAGAGAGTTTTGTTCCAGAAAGACGAAATAATTCTTTCCAAAAGGCACTTTGGAAGATTTTATCCCGATCAGACACAATGGTTTCGGGAAGACCATGCAGCCGGAAAATTTCTGAAAAAAACACTCGTGCAACTGATTCAGCCGTGTACGGATGCCCGAGGCGAATAAAATGGGCGTATTTATAGAAATGGTCTATGACAACGAGTAAAGCCGATTTTCCCGACACCTTAGGGAGAGCCTCAACAAAATCCATTGAAATATCAGCCCAGATCGTAGTAGGGATCGGTAAGGGCTGCAAAAGACCTGCAGGCTGTAGTGTTTCCCATTTATTGTGTTGACACACCACGCAATTATGAACATAGTCTTGAACCGTCTTTTTCCATCCCTTCCAATAGAAATCTCGACGAATTCGCTCCATAGTTTTCTGAGTCCCTTCATGAGCCGAGTCATGAATGCCTGATAGAACTGTCTCTACCAGCGGTGAAGTTGGTTGCAAATATGCTCGTTTATTGTAAAAAATGAGTCCATCTCAGACTGACCACTTGGTCGCCTCGGTACCGCCTATAATCCACTGGCGCAAGTCTTGAAGGTCCGCACTAGTGTCGATCTCTTGTTGGAGGGAAGAAAAAATATCTATGCGGACTTCTGATAAAAACAGCTCACCCACCCTGATCTCTTCTTCCCGCTTAGATAACGCGTCTGCTGCCTTGTTGAGGGCCCCTGCACGGTATTCAACCTGAAAATCAAAGCCAAGAAGTTTACTGACCCAATGTTGTTGTGGCGAGGTTGTGAGGCGTTGTTCCAGCAAAAACTTTAAGCTATAATGATATGTCTTGATCATGAATGGTCTGCCCCACAAGTAAGGTCTCCAATGGGCAACGCCCTTAGCTAAGCCAATTAGTTCTCTCTCGTATGCCGGAAGTTTGTGGTGGCGGTCTGCAAGTTTACGGCTAAAGAAAGCAATTGGGTGGTTGTTTTGCTGAAGGATTGCGCCGATGCCACTGCCTGATGCATCACACTCGACAACAAAAGTGTTTGACAAATCAGGCAATGCTAAAACCGATGATTCTGATAATGCACGTTTCAAGTTTGTGAATGCTGCCTCTGAATCTTTGCTCCATGTAACACCGTTCCTTCTAAGCATGCTAGTTAATGGGGTGGCAATGTTGCCATAGTCTTTAATGAACTTTCAGTAATAGCCCGCCAAGCCGAGGAATTCGCGTAGAGTTCGGATATTATGAGGTTTTGGCCAATCTTGAATTGTTGCAATCTTACTTTGGTCAACCGAAACCCCTTTCTGGTGAATAATTTGACCTAGATATGTGACTTCCTTGCGACCGAAGGAGCACTTGGAATTTTTTAAAAAGAGTCTGTGTGCGCGTAACAAGCCGAAAACTGTTTGGAGGTGATGAAAGTGCTCCTCCCCTGTTCGGCTATAGATTAAAATATCATCAAAAAAACCAAGACGTACTTGCGCAGTTGTTGGCGGAAGACGTCATTCATTAAATTTTGGAATGTCGATGGGGCGTTTGACAACCCAAACGGCATGATAAGGAATTCAAAGTGTCTGTGGTGAGTGCGAAAAACCGTTTTCTCGATATCCAAGGGTGACATGCGGATCTGGTGGTACCCGGAGGCTAAGTCAAGCTTAGAAAAAAACATCGCTCTGTGTAGTTCATCAAGGAGTTCCTCTACTACCAGGATAGGGAACTTGTCTTTGACTGTTTTGGCATTTAATTCTCGGTAGTCAACACAGAAACGCCACGATCCGTCATGCTTTTTGACCAGGAGAACAGGAGAACTAAAAGGTGATTGACTAGGCCGAATTATTCTGTTCTGCAACATCTCTGCATACTGTTTTTCAATTTCATCCTTTAGGAGATGGGGGTATCGGTAAGGTCGCACCGTAACTGGTTCGGTGCCTAAATGAAGCCTGATCTGGTGATCACATGACCGAGAGGGGGGCAGACCCTGGGGTTTTTCAAAAATATCCGAAAAGGACTCCAATAATTTATCGAGGTTTGGCTCATTCTCATTAGAACCACTAAGAGCAGCAAGTGTTGTCGTGTAAGGTGTCTCGCCATGCCATTCAATCGCCCTTCCATCGATACTAAATTCCATCTCGCTAACTGTAAAATCCCATAGGATGCACCCCAATCGTTTCAGCCAATGAATCCCTAATACCATGTCGAACCCTTCCAGTGGAATAGCGAAGAAATCGGCTGAAAACTCGTAGCCTTGAACCGTCATTTGTGTATTGCGACTTATCCCACTACTCGCTATTCTCCCTCCATCTGGTAGTGCGACACGAAGTCCTGGGCGGTGATGCACCAGGACTTGAAGCTGGTCGGTTGCTCTGCTGACAATAAAATTGTGGGTGCTACCACTATCAAGAAGCACCCATGCAGTTCCGGAACCAATAAGTGCTCACACCTGAAAGGTTCTGTCAGTTTTTTCTCCATGTATGGCACTCAGCAAAAATTTTGGTGTTACTTCAACTTGAGTCTGATCTTCTTCATCCTCATCTTCCATCATAATGCAAAACAATTTGGCACACTTATGACCGACTGAGAACATCTCGTCGCAGTTGAAGCACAACCCCTTTGCTCTCCGTTCTGCCATTTCAGATGTTGTGAGACGCTTCCAAGTAGGGTTCCTTGGTTCTTTTTTGTAGCAGCTGCCCCTGTTGCTTCCCAATTTCTGATTGCATTTGGGGGTCGACTTCCCGATGGGGGTGCTCCGAGCCCTCTAGCATGGCCCTCTTCTGACAGTTTGAGCTCGATTTGCCTTGCTAGGTTCACAGCAAAATATAGGGTATTTGGTTTCGCGTACTCAACTTCATACCGAATTGCATTGGTTAAACCTGCACAGAAGTGCCAAATACTCTGTTCTGGTGTGACCCCCGTGGTCCGACCCAAAAGGGATTCGAAACCTTCACAGTAATCTTCCACAGTTCCAAGTTGGCGTAAGCGGGTCAGCTCCCCTAGCGGATTCATGCTCATAGGTGGCTCGAACCGGATTTTGCATTCTTCTGAAAAATCATTCCACGTCATTCTGTCCTTCATCCTCCTGAGATTATGATACCAACCGCTGGCTCGCCCTTGTAGAGAAAACGTGGCTTGTCGGACCCATGCATCAACTGGTGTTTGTTGTTCTTCAAAGAAATCTTCACATTTTTGTAGCCACTCCATTGGGTTAGTTTTTCCACCATAAGTCGGGAATTCCATCTTTGCGAACCTTGGTACCCAGGTGCCACGGTACCCTGTGTCCTCAAGGTCTTCCCACTCCTTTTGTGGTCACTCCTGGCGGATAAATCCTTCTCATCTGTACTAGTCCCAACTGTGCTTAAATGGTTGTGGTTTCCCAGTTCGCCATGAATCATTCCCTTTCCCGATTACTTGACCTGATCCATTTGGTTGTCCCCCAACAGGACCCTTTCCCCGTCCGACGACCGTGGTAATTGTCGGTCCTTTAGCTTCTCGAGCACTGTCGGGGCCGAAACCTGTCCCCCTGCCTCTTCCTTGACTTTGCTCTGGTGGATCATCGAATGACTCCATCTCTATCTCCTCCTCCACACTAGCTTCCGAACCCCCTTGTTTATTGGATTTGTTATGGCTCCATGCAGATAAGCCTTCCTCCAATGTCGCTTGCTTGGCTTGCAAGGCTTCCACCGCAGCCTTCAATTCACTTGTGCTTTGGGTTTGTTGGGTCATGAAGGCTTCCAGTTTCTTCATAAATTCCTCTGATTGGTTTGTCATCACGAGCGGCTCTGATACCAAATTTGTTATGCCCCGGGATTTGGATCTCGTGACTGGCCCTGTGCTTGCAGTTACAGGAGCCGTGAATCTCTAGTAACCTAGCCCCCTGCTGCAAGAGACTAAGCCAAACAAGTAAACTGATATTATTCTCTGATTGTTAAGAAATTCAAGCATGCTTTATTCCAATAAAGATTTCCCTTTAAATAGGGAAAACAATTACTCAAAAATAAGGAAGCAAACCTCCTAAATCACCAAGACTTTGGAAACAGAATCAAACTCAAAACTAGACATTATCTTGAATTAAAATACTCCTAATTAATAGCATGCATTAAAAAATGAAATCCTTTTTAGCCTCCTCCGATTGCCTTAGGTTCTTTCTTACGCTTCTGATAAACTTTGTCATATCTGTTATTGGCGACCATAACAACCATACCACCATGTATAGAGTGGTGATTATCTTTTGTTCCAGTTCTTGTTCCTTTTTGGTTTCAAGAGCATAGGTTTAAAGGCACAAATGTAATTATCTCGCTTTTATTTTAAATAGCAACGTACTTTCCTTTGTAGCGTTTTTTCCACCGAGGACCACCATTAACCACCGCCAAACCTCCAACCGACAAGTGAATGTGATAGGCTGATTTTCTAGCCTTGAAGTCTTAATTATAAGGCTTAATGAGTTAAGTTGCAAACTTAACCTATATGTTGAAATTATAAAATTCACAAGAAAATCTCATGTTTTAAGCCCTTGATTAACTAAGCTCCTAAACCATTAAGTCACTTTAGTTCACACATTTTAGTAACCTGATATGTGGTCTTTTGATCCACTAAAAGTTGTAGAGTTAAAGCTTAACCATTAAGGACATAATGGAGGGGTAAAAATGACTTAATCACCTTTATGCTTAAAAGTTCCTAATCTGCCCTTGTTTTGTAAAAGTTATAAAAAAAAAAATCATTTGTGGTCAGATTTATGATCCATCAATTACCAAAGTTCAGATTTTGAGTCTAGTATGTCCATGATTTTTTTTCCTTGACTTGATGTTGGATTTAACTAGGATGAAATAAGCCTAATAACTTAGATACATGTTTAGGGATAATGGTTTAATGTTAATGCTATTAAATGTTATTTATTGGCGGGTTGTGATGTGTATTGATCTTGTTGTATTTCACGGGTTGTCGCTTGTGATCTAATTTGCATTCCGAGGTGAGTTCTTCACTATATGATGGTGATGTTTTTTATCCTTGCTTTATCTTGTGTGTAATTATACGATATATGTGATTAGTATTAGATTGTGAGGCATGTATTCATAAGATGTGGTATATTGGGCCGGAGGCAGTTAGATCGAGCTGGTTTATGGAAGATAGAATGCCGAGTCAAAGTACTAAAGGCAGACATGTCGAGTCAATAGACTGAAGGCAATAACACCGGTTGATGGATTGAAGGTAAAAATGTCGAGTCTTTAGTGGATGATTTTTTGTTGATGTGTTATTAAACTTGCATGTATTGTATGTTACTGATTGTTTACCCGATACGTATGCTTAGATTATTTATTAATGGCATGTTAGATGTACCTGTGTGGTAGATGTAAATATATATCATCTGATGTGATGTTGTGTTGGAATTCATTAAGCTCCGTGCTTACCTTTTCCCTATAAAAAATTGTTTAAGGAATTGCAAGTACAAATAAAGGGAAATGCATAGGTTGACTGTACACTTGACGCGAGTTGATGATTTTTATAAACGTTGAACGCTTGCTTTTTATTTTCGTTTTTGATTTCTAGTTTGTGAACAAAGTAGATTTAATTACCATGGTTGTTTAATATTTAAAACTTAACATATTTTGGTTAATTAACATAGTGAAAGGGGTTTTATATTAATCAATTGTGTTTTTAAAAGTTTAAATTTATTGTAAATTTTGAGACGTTACACCGTCCCAAAAGAAAGGAATCCTTAACGACTCCAACGTTTTACAAACCGTCTCATCTAATCACAAACCTAATCAGGGTCAACCGACCTCTAATAGATAATGATTTAACTTTCCATTTAGCAAGCCTTTTCTCACCAGTTTCCAATTATCCACACGACTCATACTCGTTACCAATGACAACCCAAGATATGAGAATAACATATTAGAGTAGAACATTCTGTAACCACCACATAATCTTCAACCTCATGGCTAGCTCTCCCAACCCCAAACAAGTTGGATTTAAGCATGTTAATTTTCAACCTTAAAACTAAGAAAAAACAATTCAAAATTGTTACCAAATTAACGATATTCTTTTCGTCCCATAGTCAAAACCATCTTCACCTACAAAACCACCACAAAAAAAGACCTTGGACCCCTGCATCCTCCATAGCAACATGTAACACTTGCATGACAATAATAAACAAAAAAACACGACAAAGGATCTCTTGTCGTAAAGAAAACTCCATGGTTTGGTTCCCATTCACCAATACCGAAGATCATAACTTTTTTTTTTTCTTTTATTCCAATCAATCACTTCGTTCACTGTTAAGAGGCCATCCAAATTTTGCCTACCCTTGATAAAAGAAGTTTTGATCATGACTAATGATACTATCAATAACTATAGCAAGACGATTAGCATAAACTTTAGCAATAATCTTTATACTATACAATTTATGAATGAAGCTAAGAATATCATCTTTAAACATGCCTCATTTTTTTTTTATAAATCGGAACAAAAAAAAACCATCCGGACCGATGCTCGATAACTCTCATACGGCCAAACAACCTCCATCTCCTCGTCAATCGAAAACATGGACACCATAGCCTCCCTTTGATCCACTGATACAAATTTCAACTGAGAATTTGGATGAACAATATTAACGCTAGAAAAACGTTTAAATTTATCCTTATAAAATTGAAAATTTGCATACTTCTCATGCATTGGGTCCCTCACCCACAACCCATCTACCTTCAAACCAGAAATGGCTAGTTTTATTTATTTATTTATTTTATAAAGAATAAAAAAAAAATGCTCTTGTACCTTTCAACTCCCCACTTAATTTTGTCTTTTGTGAAAAATTCATACCATCTATTTTATCAAAATCAATCAAAGACTTAACAATATTAATTCTTTGAATTGCCAATTCTCCATCCTCATTACCACCTTCAAGACCTATATCAATTTCCATCAAGTTTTGCAAATAAGTCCCACTTCATTCCTATGTAACTTTTTAATTACTTTTACCATCTTTTTATTTATTTTGAAAGGATTGACCGTGTAAGTTTCTAAACTAAAGGGGTCATCCGTGTCAAAAAGTAAAACTTCTCGTAATGGCTATTCAATTCATACTTCATAGTACCATTTTTCAACGATAAGGACCATTTATGTAATTTTTTTTAATACTTTTACATCTTTTTATTTATTTTTGAACAAATAATTTCGTAGATGGTTGCATAAGATTGATTTTTAAAAGGTAAAACGGAAGCATTTAATTACATTTGAAATCCTTCTTCTAAGTTCCATCTTACAAGACGTCTTTCTTCTTTTGTAAGATGCTAATTAATTTGTCATTGTATATTAGCTAGTTCATCGAATATCACTAATTTTTAGTACTTGAACAATTAGTTACCTAATCATTACAATTTCAAACCACAAAATACATTCAGATCTATATCCGCTCTTAATCTAGCTATTGTCGGGCACGAAAGACAAAAGCTAATGGAAAATTGGAAATAATATATGCATTCGACAAACACAAGACACCCCTTCGGGTTATCGGGTTGATATGGTCTTTCCATTTGAATGTAAATAGGGTCCCACCCATTATGAAATGAATGATACCGAAATATAGATCATTTTTTGTAGTAAGCATGGACCCTAGGGGCCACATTTATTTGTTGAAATCAGCAAATGACTTACTCAGTTTAGTGCTCTATTATCACGCAATTATGATGGAACTCCCCTACGTACGTATCTACGGATTTTAACATGTTAGACTAATGTCGAAATTATGATTGAACTCCCCTACGTATATACGGATTTTAACATGTTAGACTAATGTGCATGGGATGGACAATATTATCTCAAGATGGGTATATGTGGCGCATAATCCATGCATGGTGCATAGCTTAAATTGGTATAAAATATGGGACATTTGCACGTAACTTATTATTATTACACTCTTGTTAGCATGTTGTTGTATATGTACCTGGGGCATAGTTACCAATAACTAAACGCCATAACCAATTATCAGGGTCCATACCTCATACCCTATACATTAGCCTTACCCCTTAGGGCATTTAAGAACACGTTAAAAACATGTAGCCTTGATCAGAAACCTTATCCTACAAACTCGCCTTTGTTGAGTAATGGGTCTCCTGGTTTACACTGTTGGGATACATACCGACTGATGAACGTCAGTGAGTGAAGCCAGCAACCCCACTTGTGAATTAAATGTATCCATCTCATATATTGTTTATTTTGGCATCTATATATAGCCATTACCCACATGAGCAAATCATACAAGCATTTGTCTTCAAATTCAAAAACCTTCTTCTTCACCAAAAGCTTCAGCTAATAGACAATACACAAAGGAGACGAGTTACACCACTGAAGCTTACATCAATACCACAAAAATGGTAGGTTGATTAATTTATGAGAAATCTTGATCAACTTTTTGAACCAATCGTTTTCATTTCAATCTAGCCATTGTTATTTTTAAAAAGATAGCAAAGACTAATGATTCGTTCCAAGATTCAATGCATAATTTCCTAAACGGAGCTTTAATATATGCAGGCTAAGAGAAGTAATGAACCAGATGTAGCGGAGTTCATATCAGCGATTGCAGCCGAAAATAACGCTCAACTCATGGTGGTTGCATGTGCTGAGGCGGCCGGCTCCACCACCCAAGGCCTCATTGCTGCATCTCATCAAACTGGTGGTAGGCTGATCTGCATCGTGAAGGGAATCGAAGAGCTTCACTCTTCCAAGCAAGCTCTTAGCTCAGATGCGAACCAAGTAGAGTTTGTTGTAGGAAA